GTTTGTATTTTTAACTAGTTTTATTAGTTCTAGTTGTGAAAATTACACACTTTTGGTGTAATACTTTATTTTCATTAATTATTTGTAATTTATTTAGATTAGGATTATTCTGAGCTTGGGACAGGTCAAAATCATCCCAAGAATCAAAGGATGGATCCTAAAGACCAAAGAATGTGCAAAAAGGAGAAGATCAAATGAAGATTTTGATATTTGTTCAATACTCGGTCGAGTATTTCCAATACTCGGTCGAGTATTGGTCAGATACGCTAGTCAAAATCAAATCTGGGAGCAAAAGAACGTGGCTGAATATTTGATGAAAATCCTGTCATACTCGATCGAGTATTGGCAATACTCGGTCGAGTATGCCTATTTTTCACAATTTCCTGGAAATTTCCTCTCATACTCGGTCCAGTATCCCCAATACTGGATCGAGCACAGAACCCTGCCACCTCCATTTTGCTATAAATGCACCCTCTTTCCTTCACATTAAGCACATTCCTTCTTCCATATACTTAAGCTCAGTTTAGAATAGCATTTCTTTATATTTTTCTAGCTATGTTTAGTCTCCAAATGAGGAGCTAAACTTCCATTTCTTGGCGTTGCTCTTGAAGCTTGTTGATTATTAAAGTTGTGAGTTATTTTCTTAACTTCTTTCCTTGAATATTAATGCTTCTTTTAAATACTATTTCTATATCAATGTTGGGGAGTGTTACTAAGATGACAATTAGTTAACATCTTGACATTGGTCTTAGTAATAGCTATTCCTTCCTCTATGTTAATATTGGGGAGTGTTACTAAGATGACAATTAGTTAACATCTTGATATTAACTATAGTAGGATTCATTTTCTTTAATATTCTTCCTTGAGTATTAATTAATTCCTATTCATATTTCATATTAATATTTTGAACATTACTTAAAGGATCAACTAGTTTTGTTTCATATATTAATTATTACTAGAAACGATCAACGAACCGATGGTTAATCGTTGATAGTTTCACAAGTAAGTAACTTCGGTTTATTAATGCACGGTCGTGGTTAATAAACTTAAGAGGGATTAATTTTGTTGGTTAAACCGAAATCATTGTGTTGAGGTTATCAATCTCAATTGATTTCATCAAGGAATTAAGATATTAAATGCTACTATCAAGTCGGTATATGACGTTGTTCTATACTTGACTAATAATAGGGGTTATTAATGAACGGTCGTTGTTAATAACTAACCTCGATGAATTGGATATACTCCTCGATTGAGTATTCGAGAGGAGATAAGTTATAGATATAACAATGATCGACTAAAATATATCAACAAGTGGAAAGTAGCAATGCCAAGTCCCTTTTATTTTTGAATTAAATCTCATATAAGTCGTTCATCTTCGTGTTTAATTAAATTAAATCACTCAATCCCAAAACCCCCATTATTTACTAGTTTTACTAAAAAGAGAATTATTCTTTTCCCTGTGGATACGAACTCTACTACGCTATACTACGTATAAGTGTTAGTATTGAATTTATTTTGACGCACCGTGACAAAGTTCACGTCACTTTTGAAAAAACAAAATACTTTGTAGATGTAATATTGTATCTATAATGAAGAGTTGGATGTTGTTTTTGAAGATTAAAGATGAAAGGAGGTAAAAGAGAAGCGCATTTGGAGCTTTTGGTTCAAAAATGTTGGTAAACATGACTGGGTTTTCAGTCACTTTTGGAGCTTTTTAAGATTTCTTGTACATTTTTAGTTGCGTGTTAAGTGACTAGGACACAAAACTATAGTAACTATTAGTCATATTTTTGTAAATAAGTTTCATTTTGGTAATATTTTTGAAAAACTCTTTTGTATTATTTGTATGGTTGATGGATAGTGGTGTGAAACTGTGGGGATTGATTAGTTATAAATTCTATGTATTGATAGAGAGAGTCATGCTCCTTTTGAAAGCTTCTGGTTGGAATCGTCCTGCGGAATTCTCCATTTGAAGTGCTTTCAGATAGAAATTTTATGGAATTTTTGTGAGCTCTTCACGGAGTGTTAATTATGTCCACGAAATTTTAACTTAAAATTCAATTAGAAAGTTAGTTAAATAAGTTCTTGGAAAGCCTTGCGTTTTTCATAGAGCTGTAATTCTACAACAAATGAATAATGGAGCATATAAATCAGAGGCAGAGGTAGGGGTGGGCCAGCCTTGGCCCTGACCCTGCCCAAATTTTAAAATTGTCTAAATTTTTAGTGTAAAAATTCCGTGTAATTTTTTTCTCAAAAATATTCTTTGTATCGGCCCAGTTTGACCCAGCGCCGTGGCAATGCCCCTGATATAAATGAGAGGAGCAGCAAAGATAGCAAGATGAACATTAATGGCTTATGGCCGACTTTGAAGTGCATTGCACCACATAGATACACCAATTTTAAGCTCCTTCAATATCCAACATATTTCATCAAAGAACAAACTATGACCTCCTTTGTTCCTAAATAAACATCTCATTTTCCTTTTTGATTCGTCCCTTAAAAAAAACCACTTTCCTTATTTGGTAAACAAAAAAATGCAAAATAGTGTCAAACAGTGCATATGGTGATATTGATGAAGCCAGAGATTTTGGATAAAATAATACACCTGTAACATCACAATTATCATCAATGAACTCATTATATTTTTTATCAATCAAAGCAAATTCTGAAAATATACTCAAATAACATTATTTAATTATTATCTAAATAACCATGCCATTTTTTTTAAATAAAAAACTTAAGCCGGGATGGAGGTAATATATCTCTAATGATGACCATATATGTACTTCTAATACAATTTTGAGAAATTGCCTAATATAGAAGTAAACATAAACATAATTGCACAAATAGGAGTTAAACTTAAAACTTCATTCAATAGGTGTAAACATTAATTTTCTACCTTTAATACCCCTAACCTAATTTATTCTAAAGTATGACTTATTTGATCCTATTAAAATATAAAAATAAATTAAAATATTTCAATAATCAAAATTTTAAAAATATAACTTTAAAAAAAATAAAACACAAAAAAGTAAAAAAAAAAAAAAGGAGGCCTTTCTAGCAGCCTTGGTCAACACCTAACAATGCTACCTCCAATCGGCGAAAAATGCCATTTTATGTAAAAACTATCATTTTCCTTTCAAAATGCCATAAAGATGTCATTTTTACTTTTTGAAAATGCCAAATTTTCTCAAAAAATGTCATCATGATGACATTTTTAATAAACATTGATATTTTTCCGGTGGACGGAGCTGGTGGTACTGGGAGGTTGTTGAGGCTGCAGAAAGGGGCATGCATATTCTTTATTTTTTTTTTTAGTTTTTTATTTAATATTTTATTTATTTTAATAATTTTTTATTTTATTAATTTTATTTCATATGGAATATATATGATTTACTATGTATTTTCGTGTTGTGATTGTTTTACAATTTTATTATAAATTAATTAATGTTATTTCTTTTATACTTTAATTATTTATGGAAGTGGTTGAGGCTTGGGGCTTGAGTTGGGGTATATTTGTCCAAACACTAAAGTTACTCATATTCAAAATATGATACTCCTATTTTTGTATTTTGCTTATCTTTTAGTCCTATCTGGGGTATTCACCCTACAATTTTCATCATGTTTTAATTTTTATACAATAAGTATGTATATTCAGATTATTAATGAAATGAATTGCTTTTAGAAATAAAATAGAAGCTATTTGATAACACTAAGAATGGGTTGAATACTTGAATTGGTTATAATTTGTGAAATACTTACAAAAGCAATTGAACTGATTGAATATCTTGATTTATGAAAAACATTAAAACATACTTTATCACCAAACAAAATAAAAAATGAATTATATGAAAAATAGCTAAAATAGCCACCTTTCACAAATTCTTACAAATTAATCACGAGTAACTTCAATCTTACTTATTTTGATTATTACATTAAAAGATAAATAATTTTATAAAATAAGCGGTCGAGAAGATTTATAAGGTGAAGACATGAGTTACCAAACCAACTATTAACTTCATTCGTCACTCGTGCAACTCACGGGTCAATTGATTAGTTATTAATTTATTATTGTTGTTGTTATTGTTATATGTTTACACTTAGATAGGCATACACAAATGAATCTTCATGTGAGGTCGACATAAGCAGGACAGCCGTCCGGCCGAGCCTGTTTGAGGGTCTTCTCGGTGAATTTTTTAATCAATTTTTTTGAGCATGTTTTCATCAAGTCTAGTTTATACCTACCAAGTTTCAACTAAAAATTCAATCGAGAAGACAATTAAATAAAGATTGCTCTTAAATAATTTATTTAACTTCCTTCCCGATTAAGTTTTAAGCTGAAATTTGATGAACATAAACTAAACTTGACAAAAACCATGTTTAAAATTTTATCCTTTTTATTTATCATTTTTAGGTATATTCATCTTTTTTATATTATCTTTTTTATTATAGATTATCTTTTTTATCTTTATTTTCTTTGTTTTTTTTGTGGTGATATCATATATCGATTCATGTTAGCCGTTCTCAACATCTTTTGTGACTAAGACTTAATATTGTTTCACACCGTCACATACACATTCATAGACATTCAACAGAAACATATCCATGAGTTGACCAAGTCTTAGATAAGATATGAGCAAGTAGGAAGTGGCCATGCCCGTTGACTCCATTTTAAACGACTTGACTTGGTAGTGCGTCTACTGCTGCTGCTGGAGGTGGAAAATGCACGAAACAGACACATAAAGATGAGAAGAGCTTTGGCTAATTAACTGAACGAACTGCTACCAAATGGCAGAGAATTACTGGAAGAGGGTAAGCATGGGTCGGTTGATTTTATGGTCCATTCTAATCGCTAGCTGCTTGCTGGTGATATCAATATCCTCTGTCACCTCCAGTAAATGCATTGATGGGGAGAAACAAGTACTTCTCGAGTTTAAGCTCAACGTTCCTGACGATCTACGCTCTTGGGGGAACCCTAATGAAGATTGTTGTTACGATTGGGATGGAGTTCGGTGTGATGAGCGTACTGGTCATGTCATCCAGATTGATCTTCAAGGTAAGTATCTGTCCGCCAAGGTTAGATATTCTAGCATTCCATTCATTGATGAGCTCCCCTACTTGAAGTATTTGAATCTTATTGATAACCCCGGGTTGCTCGCACCCCAGAATATCTCATCCTTGATTGGGAATCGCAATAATCGTAGCTCTGCTATAGTTTCCCTTCAACATCTGAAACTTGGAAACAATGCAATTGTTGGCAGCATTCCTGAAGATTTTGGAAACACCATGCCAGCCCTCAGGCACCTTGATCTCAGCTGGAATAGGTTACAAGGTTCTATTCCTGAAGATTTTGGACACAGAATGCTTGCTCTCACGCACCTTGATCTCAGCTCGAATAGTTTAGGAGGTTACATTCCCAAAAAATTTGGAAACAACATGCTTGCCCTCACGCACCTTGATCTCAGCAAAAATAGCTTACAAGGTTCCATCCCTGAAACACTTGGAAAGATGGTTAAGATGACTTCCCTTGACCTGCACATGAATTGGTTGGAAGGTCACATTCCTGAAGCTCTCGGGAATATGTCTGCCCTTGAAGCTCTTGTAAGGAATAAATGTAACTAGATTTTGATGATGCTATAGGATTAGAAAGTTAGAGTACCCCCTATTAGATTTTATGTATTAGAATTTTTCAATTGTAAGTAATAGTGTAGTCGACGATCAGAGTTGCTCTGCTTTGGATCAGATCAAAAGTGCATCAGAACTGCTCGACCAGACTTGCTCTAGGAGAACTGCTCCATCAGAGTTCTCTTACCTGAAGTCGATCAGAGTTGCACCATGAGAGTTGCTGATAAACTTGGACATCTGATAGCCGATGAGAACTACAGATCAGAAGTACTCATCAGCGGACCTATCAGAGTCAGAGTTCAGTCAGAGATCAGAACTCCATCAGAACTCAACTTATCAGAAGAACCTGATCAGAGCCCGACGAACACTTAGAAAATTTCAAGCAACATCCAACAGCTCTGAATTCAACGGGTAAAAACATCCAACGGCTAGAAGACTGTGCATGAAAGGAAAGCATTTAATGCACATTAAATGAGCCTGATACGCTGAAGGATTGATTGCAAATGATTGACCAAGGAATCCGGGAAGATATATTATAAAAATAGAAACCTTCCAAAACGGCGGTCAAGTCAACTGTACGCGCATTTAATGCAGTTGTCTCCTCCTCCAACGGGCAGACAACCCCAGTATATAAGCTACACACCGAAGATCAGGAAAAATAACTTTTGCTACAACTTTTGCTCATCATTCAAGCTCTCTTGAGATTCAAATTCTACAACCTTCAACAAGACAAGCTTACGTTGGGAAGAATCAAACTCCAAATCTCTCATCCCCAACAAACAAGCAAAGTTCATCCTGTTCTTCAACACTTCAAGAACTTCATCAAACATCATTTGTAACGAAGCAAGTTGGAGGAAAAACTCTGTTTTTCAAAGGATCTTCTGAAAAGAAGGGCGTCCAAGTAACTGCAGTAGTGAAGTGGTGATACTTCCGGGAAGCTGAGTGAAAGGACCAGCCATCAGGACGTGGAACTGCATCCTGGGTGGCATCTAGGCTTGAAGAAGACGAGGAGTGCTTCTTAAGTGCTAGGATTTAGCTTTGTAACCGATCTACTTCAAAGCTAGTGGAACAGTGGACTAGAGGAACAAGTTGTTCCTTGAACCACTATAAAATATCCGGTGTCATTTACTTTACTGCAATTTATATTTCTGCACTTAGGATATTAACTGATTAACTCTAAGATTTGGAATCTGTGTTCAGCAGATCTTATTTTCAGAGTTATCAGAAAGGCATTCGCCTTAGTATTTTCTGAGGCTACCCGAACAGATCAGAATCCGCTGCCAAGGCCAGTTCTGATATCAGAACCAGCCTTTCTCTGTCTTCAGAATCAGACCTTCTCTGATAAGTCACTTTGGACTTTGAGAAAAATTTGAAAAACCAATCAGTCTATTCACCCCCCCCCCCCCCCCTCTAGACTGATTACCATATTAAACGGGACCAACAAGTGGTATCAGAGCCTCCTTGTTCTTGTAATCTCTTAGGTTACATTCTGAACAAAGATCCACTTGTTCTTAGCCTCTTTATTTGTTATTATGGATAACTCTCTTGCCAAGCATCTCATGTTCACAGATCAGAAATATGATGACTGGAAGATTCGGATGAAAGCTCATCTCTGTGCCCTGCATGATGAAATGTGGGAAGTCCTGGAGAATGGACCTTTTATCCAGTTCATGAAGATCAACCCTGCCCATACCCTAGACAACAATCTACCCCAGATGATTGAGAAAGCCCGGTCTGAATGGACCAAGGAAGAGAAAAGACAGTACAACCTTGACAATATAGCCAAGGACATCCTTTACAAGGCTATTGATGAAAGATACTTCAACAGGATCAAGAAGTGCAGAACTGCCAAAGAAATCTGGGATAAGCTGGATGAGATTGGTGCAGGAGATGAACAAGAAAGAGATAACAAGTTGACCATTGCTATGAAGAAGTTTGATGATTTCAAACTTCTGCCAGAAGAATGCATTGCTAAGATGCATGAGAGACTGCTGATTCTCATTAGTGAGATTTCTGAACTTGGGAAGGAGCTCACCATCAAAGAGGTCAACATGAAGATCCTCAGGGGACTGCCTTCAGCTTGGAAAATGAAAGTGATTGCAGTCCAGGAAAGCAAGAACATCAAGACTTATGCCACTGAGAAACTCATCTCTGATCTCAAGGCTTATGAGTTTGAGATGCATGAAGAGAAGGAAGAAGTTCCTGATGAAAGGACCACCACTGCTCTCACTGCCAGTACCTCTAAGGTAAGTGACTTTGACCCTTCTACTCTTCTATCTGATGAGTATATGGCTGCTTTTGCCAGAAAGTTTAAGAAGTTTATGAAGAAAGATGGAAGGAGTCCATCTTCCATCAGAAGACCTCATCAGAAGACCAAAACTTCTGAAAGCAATGGAGAGTACCTCTGCTACAATTGCAGACAACCTGGGCACTTCAAAGCTAACTGCCCCTATCCAAGAGTGTCCAAGAAGCAAGGACATGAAGAAGAAAAGAAACCAGATGATCAACACAGAAGAAGAAGAGCATTCGTCTCAGAGCAAGCTGAGAGAGATCCACTCTCTGAATCAGAGTCCAGCTCAGACTCCGACTCTGATGAAGCATTCTGCTGCTTGGATGCAGAGACTGAAGACCTTTGCCTCATGGCACAATCAGATGATGAGGTATGCTCTACTTCTGATTCTATTTCTTCTTCGGTAGGCACAGCCTTAAATGATGATCCAATGTCATCATTCTGGGAAGAATTCCAAACTATCCAAGCCACTTATTCCTTTGTTAAAGATGAGAACAGTAGGCTGAAAGTTGATATCTCTGATCTAAGGAAAGAGACTGAGTGTAAACTTAATTTCTTAACTGAGGAAAGAGATAGACTGAAAGCTGAAAATGAGTCTCTTCTGAAAAGAATAAGAGACATTGAGGAACTTGAGAGTAGATATAATAGTCTTCTGAAGATGCAATCCTCCATGAAGACTATTGGTAACTCTCATAACTTCACCTCTGGTCTTGGATATGTTGAACCAGAGTCTGGTGAGCCTTCTGTAAGGCCTAGCACCAAAGTTGCTAAAGCTAAAAAGGTCATAGTGCCACAGACTCTGAGCCCCAATTGCCATGCTAGTACTTCTGGTACTAAAATTGTTCATGAGAAGGTCATACCAGAGAAACAAACTCTAAAGGCCAAACCAAAACAAAGTTTGAAAACTAATGAACCTGGCAGACACTCTAACAAAAGGAAAAGTTTTCAGAACAATAATAATCAAAGGCCTAACCCTATCAGACAATCTCATGACAATGGTATCAGAAACTACTATCAGAAAGGCAGATATCAAGAGAAGATTAACTATAGGCAGAAGAGGTTGTCTGGTCAACCTCAGAAGCCTAAAGTTAAGCGCTCCTCTGATCTTGAAAGTATATGGGACTTCTTTCCAACCAAGAAGGCTATGCAGAAGTATGCAAACAGAAAGCATGATCCTCACAAGCATCTGCCCAAAGTGAATCATACATCTGTTTACTACAACTACCAGGTGGACAATGGGTACCATCCACCAAGGTTTCAGTTGATGAGACCAAAATGGTACCAACTACCAAGACTGCATTACCCCCCAGGACCCAACATTGCTTGGGTACCTAAATCTTCCTTTTAATCTTACAGGAACTGTGTGCTGGAGCCATCTCAGAAAAAGAATGGTATATTGACAGTGGATGCTCCAGACACATGACAGGTGACAAGAGTTGCCTATCAGAGTTCCAGAAAATCAATGGACCCAGAGTCACCTTCGGTGGAAATGACAAGGAAGGGCAAACAAAAGGAAGAGGAAAGCTGATCAAGAACCAGATAATCATTGAAGATGTCTCATATGTCAAAGGTCTGAAGTTCAACTTGCTGAGTGCTAGCCAATTCTGTGACAAAGGCTACACAGTTGAATTCACCAAGACCTTATGCTATGTCAAGCATGAGACAACCAAAGAAGTAGTTCTTACAGCCAAGAGAAGGAAGAACATCTATGTTGTTGACTGGCAAACAGCAAAAGATGGAACCTGTCTGATAGCAAAGGACAACTCAAAGCTAAGCTGGGACTGGCACAAGAAGCTTAGCCACCTGAACTTCAAAACCATCAACAAACTGGCAAGGGAACACATTGTAGATGGTCTGCCTGACATTGTCTACAAGAAGGAGACCCTCTGCGGTGCTTGTCAAAAAGGAAAACAAGTGAAGACTTCATTCAAACCCATAGCTGGAGATCTTTCTACTTGTCCTCTAAATTTGATCCACATGGATTTATTTGGACCAGTTGAAACTCCCAGTGTTGGTGGAAAAAGATATACTCTTGTTATGGTTGATGATTACTCAAGATATACTTGGACTGTGTTTCTGACTAAGAAGAATGAAACTCTTCAGAAGTTGCCATCTCTGCTAAAGCAACTTCAAACTGAGAAGAATATGAAGGTTAGAACAATCAGATCTGACAGAGGAACTGAATTTGTCAATAAGGTGATCAAAGACTTCTGTGATCAGAATGGCACATTTCATCAACTCTCTGCTGCCAGAACACCCCAACAAAATGGTGTTGCAGAAAGAAGGAACAGAACTCTGAAGGAAGCTGCAAGAACTATGATTGCAGAATCAGGACTGCCCATCAGATACTGGGCTGAAGCTATCAACACTGCATGCTACACTCAAAATAGAAGCATGATCCACAAGAATCATCAGAAGACCCCCTACGAGCTGTGGAAAGGAAGAAAACCAAATATCAGCTACTTCCATGTGTTTGGATGCAAGTGTTACATTCTAAACAATGGAAAGGAGAACCTGAAAGTATTTCAAGAAAAAGCTGATGAAGGTGTATTCTTAGGCTATTCAAGTTCAAGCAAAGCCTATAGAATACTTAACAGGAGATCCCTACAAGTTGAGGAATCCATTCATGTCAAATTTGATGATGGTACCTCTGCAGAAGAACTATCAGAGACCTTGCAGAAGATC